AATAGGAACACTGAAGTATACTTTGCATTTCTTTTATCTTTGCTGTTATGGCATTCCAGTAAACATGCTGTACAAAAATTTTGCATACTTGTTTGAATTTGGACATTCAGATTAACTAGGATGTATTATTATTATTGTTATTTTTTGAGATGGAGTCTTACTCTGTTGCCCAGGCTGGAGTGTACTGGAGCAATCTCAGCTTACTGCAACCTCCGCCTCCTGGGTTCGAGCAATTCTTCTGTCTCAACCTGAGTAGCTGGTATTACAGGTGTACACCACCACACCCAGCTAATTTTTGTTCTTTTTTTGAGATGGAGTCTTGCTCTGTTGCTCAGGCTGGAGTGAATTGGCAATTGGCATGATCTTAGCTTACTGCAACATCCACTACCTGGGTTCAAGCAGTTGTCCTGCCTTAGCCTCCTGAGTAGCTGGAATTACCGGCATCCACCCACCACCTTGCCCAGCTGATTTTTGTATTTTTAGTAGAGACAGGGTTTGGCCATGTTGACCAGGCTGGTCTCGAACTCCTGCTCAGGTGATCTGCCTGCCTCGGCCTCCCACAGTCCTGGGGTTACTGGCTTGAACTATCACGCCTGGCTGGATGAATTAATTTTACCAACCTTCTGATAGGTGTAAGCAAGATGGTTTTGGTTTACACTTCCATTTTGTAGTTGCTGAGTGGCTCTGTATTTTCCTTTGAATGTAATCTTTGCCCACTTTTCTACTAGGTTGCCATTTTCATACTGATTTTTTTCAGAGTTCTCTGTAAATTAAGGAAACTAGCCCTGATATTGTACATGGTTTTTCAAGTTTGTTGTCTTTTCATTTTATGGCGTATTTTTTGTTTTATAGAAACTCTTACTGGTTTTGATTGTTAAAATTATTGGTCCTTTCCTTTATAGTTTCTTGGACTTATATTCTACATGCATTCTGGCCATCTTCTTGTAGTTATATATGTGTGGCTTTTTAAAATTAAAATTTATATTTTAGAAGTCTTAATACATAAATACATATTCATAAGAAATGTAAAAATGGTGGGAGGGAACAGCAACAAAAAAAGAAATGTAAAAATTGACAATGAAACTCTATTTCCCCAAGTTATATCCTGTTCCCCAGAGCTATTCACATATTGAATCTGATGTGTGTTCTTCCAGTTGTTTTTTTTTTTTTTTTTTTTTTTTTTTTTTTTGTTTTTTTTTTTTTTTTTTTTTGTTTTTTTTTTTTTTTTTTTTTTTTGAGATGGAGTCTTGCCGTCTTGCCAAGCTGGAGTGCAGTGGCACTATCTCGGCTCACTGCAACCTCCTCCTCCCAGGTTCAAACAGTTCTCCTGCCTCAGCCTCCCGAGTAGCTGGGGTTACAGACATGTGCACCATACCCGGCTAATTTTTGTATTTTTAGTAGAGATGGGGTTTCACCATGTTAGTTGGGCTGGTATTGAACTCCTGACCTCAGGTGATCTGCCCGCCTCGGCCTCCCAAAGTACTGGGATTACAGGTGTGAGCCACCACGCCCAGCCCTTTTCACTCTTTTATTTATCTTTTATAGCATTTATCAGTTTGTATTTATAATTCAAAAAATATTTATGATCGTATCTGTTTCTACTATTAGAATGTGAACACCATTAGGGTAAGAACTATCAGTTTTTGCTTACTTTTAAATTTCTTTTTTTTATTTTTTGTTTTTATAGAGACAGGGTCTCACTGTGTGCCCGGGCTGATCTTGAACTCCTGAGCTCAAGTGATCCTGTTGCTTGAAACCTCCCAAAGTGCTAGGATTACAGGTGTGGGCCACTGTGCTCAACCTACTTTTAAATTTCTAATAGGCATAGCACAAGCACTAAATATTTTTGAATGAATGGACGAACTAAGTTCTTTTAAGTTAATTTATGAATTGTTTTGCTGATCTGCCTATTCCACCTTTTAACCAAAATGGTTTTCCATGACTAATGCTGTATATAATCATTAATTTAACTTGTTATTTTTGGTATAATTGATAAATAACAAACTATGCATATTTAAATTTGTTAAGTTTTGACAAATGTGTCCACAGTTCACATATAGTAGACCATCTGAATTTGTCCCACAGTTCACTAATGGCCTATGTATGTTTTTGTTTATTTTTTTAGAGATGGATTCTCACTATGTTGCTCAGGCTGGCCTTGAATTGGGCTCAAATGGTCCTCTTGTCCGTCCCACCCAAGTAGCTGGGACTACTGATCCACCCTTTTTTCTGTGATTTCACTTTTGATAGCTACTGTTACTATGTCTTCAAGTTCAGTAATCTTTTCTTCTGTAATGTCTAATGTGCTGTTAAACTCATCTGGTATATGTTTCATCTCAGACACTATTATTTCTACAAGTCCATTTGGATGATTTTACTATGTTTAATGTTTCTCCTTAATATAGACATTCTTCTAGCTTCTTCTTCCCAACTTAGGGATACCACTAGGCTCTTGTCTGGGTTTTCTTTTTTTGGTACTTTAGGTTCTGGGGTAAATGTGCAGCAGATCATGCAGGATTGTTGCATAGGTACCTACATGGCAAGGTGGTTTGCTACCTTCCTCCCCCCATCACCTATATCTGGTACTTCTCCCCACATTATCCCTCCCCACCCTCCCCACCCCCTGCTGTCCCTTCCCTAGTGCCCCCCAACTGACCGCAGTGTGTGATGCTCCCCTTCCTGTGTCCACGTGTTCTAATTGTTCAACACCCGCCTATGAGTGATACCATGCCATGTTTGATTTTCTGTTCTTGTGACAGTTTGCTGAGAATGATGGTTTCCAGATTCATCCATGTCCCTATGAAGGACACGAACTCATTGTTTTTTATAGCTGTGTAGTATTCCATGGTGTATATGTGCCACATCTTCTTTATCCAGTCTGTTGTTGATGGATATTTGGGTTGGTTCCAGGTCTTTGCTATTATAAACAGTGCCACAATGAACATACATGTGCATGTGTCTTTATAAGAACAATTAATCATTCTTTGGGTATGTACCCAGTAGTGGGATTGCTGGGTCAAATGGTATTTCTGTTTCTACGTCCTTGAGGAATCGCCACACTGTCTACCACAATGGTTGCACTAATTTGCACTCCCACCAACAGTGTAAAAGTGTTCCTATTTCTCCACATCCTCTCCTGCATCTGTTGTCTCCAGATTTTTTAATGATTGCCATTCTAACAGGTGTGAGATGGTATCTCAATGTGGTTTTGATTTGCATTTCTCTAGTCACCAGTGATGATGAGCGTTTTTTCATATGTTTGTTGGCCTTATAGAGGTCTTCTTTTGTAAAGTGTCTGTTCATATCCTTTGCCCACTTTTGAATAGACTTGTTTGTTTTTTTCTTACAAATGTGTTTTAGTTCTTTGTAGATTCTGGATATTAGCCCTTTGTCAGATGGGTAGACTGCAAAAAATTTTTCCCATTCTCTTGGTTGCCTGTTCTCTCTAATGATTGTTTCCTTTGCTGTACAGAAGCTCTGGAGTTTAATTAGATCCCATTTGTCAATTTTGGCTTTTGTTGCCATTGCTTTTGGTGTTTTAGTCCTGAAGTCCTTGCCTATGCTTATGTCCTGAATGCTTTTGCCTAGGTTTTCTTGTAGGATTTTTATGCTGTTAGGTCTTATGTTCAGATCTTTAATTCATCTGGAGTTAATTTTAGTGTAAGGTATCAGGAAGGGGTCCAGTTTCTGCTTTCTGCACTTTGCTAGCCAGTTTTCCCAACACCAGTTATTAAACAGGGAATCCTTTCCCCATTGCTTATTTTTCTCAGGTTTGTCAAAGATCAGATGATTGTAGATGTGGGGTGTAGCTTCTGAGGCTTCTGTTCTGTTCCATTGGTCTATGTCTCTGTTTTGGAACCAGTACCATGCTGGTTTGATTACTATGGCCTTGTAGTATAGTTTGAAGTCAGGCAGCATGATGCCTCCAGCTTTGTTCTTTTTGCTTAGGATTGTTTTGGCTATGCGGGCTCTCTTTTGGTTCCATATGAAGTGTTTTTTTCCAGTTCTGTGAAGAAGGTCATTGGAAGCTTGATGGGGATAGTGTTGAATCTATAAATTACTTCGGGCAATATGGCCATTTTCACGATGTTGATTCTTCCCAACCATGAGCATGGAATGTTTTCTGTCTGTCCGTGTCCTCTCTTCATTGAGCAGTGGTTTATAGTTCTCCTTGAAGAGGTTCATTACATCCTTTGTTAGTTGTATTCCTAGGTATTTTATTCTCTTTGTAGCAATTGTGAATGAGAGTTCACTTTTGATTTGGCTCTCTGTTATTGGTGTATAGAAATGCTTGTGATTTCTGCATATTAATTTTGTATCCTGAGACTGCTGAATTTGCTTATCAGTTTCAGGAGATTTTGAGTTGATACGATGGGGTCTTCTAACTATACAATCATGTCGTCTGCAAATAGAGACAGTTTGGCTTCCTCTTTTCCTAATTGAATACCCTTTATTTCTTTTTCTTCCCTGATTGCTCTGGCTAGAACTTCCAATACTATATTGAATAGGAGTGGTGAGAGAGGGCATCCTTGTCTTGTGCTGGTCTGGATTTTCTCACCCCGCTCTTGGGCTTAGAATCTCCTCGAGGCAGTAAACTGAGCCAGTGATAGGACTCAGGACTCACCTCATTTGTTTTTCCATCTTTCTGGTATCTCTGGTATCACTGTTCTTTGTAACCTCATGTTCAATGTCTTTTTTTTTTTGAGACAGACTCGTCCTCTGTTGCCCAGGCTAGAGTGCAGTTGGACGATCTCAGCTCACTGCAACCTCTGCCTCCCAGGTTCAAGTGATTCTCCTGCCTCAGCCTCCTGAGTAACTGGGACTACAGGTGCCTACCACCATGCCCAGCTAATTTTTGCATTTTTAGTAGAGACAGGGTTTCACCATGTTTTCATGGATGGTCTCTGTCTCCTGACCTTGTGATCCACCCACCTTGGCCTCCCAAAGTGCTGAGATTACAGGCGTGAGCCACCGCATCCAGTGTTTTGTTTTTTGTTTTTTTGACTGGTAATAGAATTTATTCAAATGTGTCTTAATATAGGCGCTGGGGCTTGCCCATGGTGCTCTTGATATATAAGGCCGGGACATTCCGCCAGTTTTTCTTGAGCAATGACACCAAGAAATTGACAGCCAGGTGAATGTTATACACAAGCTCATTGTCTGTCATCTTCATGTGACCAACAGCCACAGCCAGACATAACACCTTCTTCATTTGGAACTTGATCGTGGACTTCACCTCATCCACTTTGGCCACCATGTTTTCATTGTGTGTGAGCAGGGAGGGGAACTTTTCCTGCCTTATTTAGGCCTGGGCCGAGGATTCGTGGAATGTGCTTGATCAGAGACTCTGAGGCCAAAAATGCATCATACTTCTTGGCCAGCTTCTTGACCAGTTTTTTATTCTTGTTGAGTTTTTTCAGCGCCTCGATGTCCACGTGGGGGATATCCACAGCCTTGGCCTCATCACAGTGCTGCTGGTCCCCCAGGACACATACAGAGAACTTGGGGCGAGGAGTGGACTTAAGCCTGACGGTGCCCGAGAAACGCTTGTCCTTCTGGGGGTCATAGTTCTTCAAACTGATCTGCAACTCCACCGTCTCCAGGAACTTGTGGCGCTTGCGCTGGTTCCCGTGCAGGACTTCCCGCACCACCTCGTACAGGGTGTGGCGAGAGACTTTGCTGCTCATGGCTTCTCCTACCACGCTAACCGGAAAAGAGTTGTTTTGTTTTTTAATGTGAACTCACTATGTTGCCCAGGCTGGAATACAGTGGCGTGATCACGGCTTATTGCAGCCTTGACTGCCTGGGCTTAAGCAATCCTCCCACCTCAGCTTTCTGAGTAGCTGGGACCACAGGCTTAATGCCGCCATGCCCGGCTATTTCTTTTTTTTCAGATGGAGTCTTACTCTTTCACCCAGGCTATAGTGCAATGGTGCGATCTTGGATCACTGGAACCTCTGCCTCCTGGGTTCAAGCGATTCTCCTGCCTCGACCTCCCAAAGTGCTGTGACTGCAGGCGTGATCCACTGTGGCTGGCCTTGATGTCTTAAAAACAATTGTTTCTGGCCAGGCATGGTGGCTCACACCTATAATCCTAGCACTTTGGGAGGCTGAGGCAGTCAGATCACCCTAGGTCAGGAGTTTGAGACCAGCCTAGCCAACACGGCAAAACCTTATCTCTACTAAAAATACAAAAATTAGCCAGTCGCGGTGCACACCTGTAATCCAGGCTACTTGGGAGGGTGAGGCAGGAGAATCACTTGAACCCAAGAGGCAGAGGTTGCGGTGAGCCGAGATTGCACCACTGCACTCCAGCCTGGGCGACAGAGTGAGACTCTGTCTAAAAAATAATAATAAGGCCGGGCGCGGTGGCTCAAGCCTGTAATCCCAGCACTTTGGGAGGCCGAGGCGGGTGGATCACGAGGTCAAGAGATCGAGACCATCCTGGTCAACACGGTGAAACCCCGTCTCTACTAAAAATACAAAAAATTAGCTGGGCATGGTGGCGCCTGCCTGTAATCCCAGCTACTCAGGAGGCTGAGGCAGGAGAATTGCCTGAACCCAGGAGGCGGAGGTTGTGGTGAGCCGAGATCGCGCCATTGCACTCCAACCTGGGTAACAAGAGCAAAACTCCGTCCCAAAAAAATAAATTAAAAAAAAAATAATAATAATACAGTTGTTTTATGTATTTTGTCTAGTTTTTAAAAGATTGTTTTAGGCAGAACAGGAAATACGGTTGCCAATACTCCATCTTGACCTCTCAGTTGTTTCTCTTTATTTTTCAAAATCTACCTAGCTCTTTCTTAGCTATGTCATTAATTTCCCCCCATAAACCTTGGTATCATTTTAGATACCTTTTCAAATATCTGTCTTGGTGGGGGTAAAAGCTGGTTTAAATTGTTTGCATACTGGAACTAATCAAGTTAAATAAGTAATTAAGCAGAGTAGGTTCTAGCATCATCAGCATCACAGATGGGGCCAGTTTAGAGCATCTGAAGACATTCATATTTTTAGGAGATTGGGCTGATGGCAGAAGGGGTAGCCAATTCACCTGTATAGATTCATAATTCATGTAGGATTAATAATAAATTCATAGATACAGGCAATAACTATGAACTATACTTAGTTTAATAAAACTGTTGTGAATGTGTATACAATATCTGAATTTTTCATAGCTCAAGAGAAACAGTAATTCTGAATAGTAGACTTATAGTATTGTTTCCTTCCTCATAGATTTAAACAGTCAAGTAAAATCAAGCTGGGTAATCATGGCAGAAGGTGGATTCGATCCCTGTGAATGTGTTTGCTCTCATGAACATGCGATGAGAAGACTGATCAACCTGGTGAGATGAACAGGATAATCCTTTTCTGAATTGATCTCTATCCCTTGTAGCCTCTTTTCATGAAAATACCAGTTATTGGAGGGTTTTCATCTGATGGTCACTAAAAAGTATTTCATAATTGAAATTGAAATTCCACATTTGTTTAAGTTGTAATGATTAAAATGTGGCCGGATACAGTGGCTCACACCTGTAATCCCAGCATTTTGGGAGGCCAAGGTTGGCAGATCACTTGAGCTCAGGAGTTTGAGACCAGTTTGGCCAACATGGCAAAACCCTATCTCTAAGGTTATAAAAACTAAGAATATAAAAATTAGCCAGGCATGGTGGCACACGCTTGTAGTCCCAGTTACTCAGGAGGCTGAGGCGTGACAATCGCTTGAACCTGGGAGACGGAGGTTGCAGTGAGCTGAGATCATGTCACTGCACTCCAACCTAAGGGACAGAACAAGACTCCATCAAAAAAAAAAAAAAAAAAAGTTTGCTAGCAGTTACTTCATTAGAGATGAAAACAGACTATTGTCTTTATTATTATTATTATTATTTGAGATGGAGTCTTGCTCTGTTGCCCAGGATGGAGTGTAGCGGTGCCATCTCAGCTCACCATAGCCTCCACCTCCTGAGTTCAAGCGATTCCCCTGCCTCAGCCTCCCAAGTAGCTGGGACTACAGGCTCCTGCCACCACACCTGGCTAATTTTTGCATTTTTAGTAGAGACTGGGTTTCACTATGTTGCCCAGACCGGTCTCAAACTCCTGACCTCGTGTTCTGTCTGCCTTGGCACCCCAAAGAGTAATTCTTCCTGCCTTTTCTACTTTATATCAATACAAATAAAATTGCTTTTAGCTGTGTGGAGCTTGTTTGCCTGCTAAGCTGCTATTGACAGTTCCTATTATGATACAGTTCGAATCCTACACCAACATATGGCATGACAATACAAATCTCTATGTAAAGGTTTTTTGTTTTTTTTTTTAGGCCGAGTCTCACTCTGTCTCCCAGGCTGGAGTGCAGCAGTGTGATTTTGGCTCACTGCAACCTCTGCCTCCTGGGTTCAAGCGATTCTCCTGCCTCAGCCTCCCGAGTAGCTGAGATTACAGGCATGCACCACCATTCCCAGTGTATTTTTGTATTTTTAGTAGAGACAGGGTTTTGCCTTGTTGGTCAGGCTGGTCTCAAACTCCTGACTTCAGGTGATCCTGATCCGCCCATCTCGGCCTCCCAGAATGCTGGGATTACAGGTGTGAGACACTGTGCCCAGCCTATGTAAAGCATTTCTGAAAACAAATCAATTATTTGACAGAGAGATTTCTGAACAACAGGATCTGAATAGTCTCTTTGAGTCGATTGTACTGAGTCTATAAGCTTAAATACAGGGCAATTTATATTATACTTTTTATGTGCAAAAGGAAAAATTTGACCATTATTAACAGTGAAGTATATTCTTTTTTTATATATTTTATTGCGTTTTAGGTTTTGGGGTACATATGAAGAACATTCAAGATTGTTGCATAGGTACACACATGGCAATGTGGTTTGCTGCCTCAGTGAAGTATATTCTTATATTATACATTATACTGGTTGAGTATCCCTTATCTGAAATCTTTGGGACCAGAAGTATTTTGGATTTTTTTGCATTTTGGAGTATTTGCATTATACTTACTGGTTCAACTTAATCGAAAAATCCAAAATGCTCCAAAGAGCATTTCTTTTAGCCTCATGTTGATGCTCAAAAATTTCAGATTTGGAAGCATTTTGGGTTTTAGATTAGGGATACTCAACCTGTAACAACATTTTTATGTTTTAAAATACTCTTGTATGTCAGTTAATAAAGGTAGGTACAGACAATTGCTCAAATGTTTGAGTTGCCAATAACAAGCAGGTTTTCTGCTGGCTCAGTGTTGCTCCATGTAGTGATCAGAAATGTGTTTCTTTTCAATGATGTACTTTTTTAGAGTCTGCATGCACTAGGACTTTGATCCTTAAGAATGCCTCAGAAGGAAATGAATAAAATAAGAACTTATACATTAAATCAGACTCTTGAGGTTATAGAAATATAATGGTAATGTGATGTCTCTGATAACTTGATGTAAAAATAGGTGAGTCTAAGGAGA